TAAAACTAGAGACACCGGGGCCCCGCGTTCGAAAACATTGATTTTATCGGTTGAGAAATTGCTACCGCCCACACCTTCGCCTCGAGTCCCTGTGCACCTCCCGTTCGCATCGCATGCCCGCCGCCACCCCTAACCGCCACCACCGTCTGACGAGTACGCGCCATTCTGGGTCATATCATATTGATATTTCACCACGTTTGCCGTTGTCGACGACGCCACCGCCACCTCTGCAGCTGTTGTCGTGTTGTACGGCCGTGTTCACCCGTCGCCGGCGCCAACTCAACCGTCACCGATGGTCTCGCTAATTAACATCAATCCATCGACGTCACCACTGAGACACCTTGGATGAAAGGGGGATGAGGACAAAATATCGGTTAAGGGGAGACGGTGGACCCATTTTTATCGTCGCGGCACTCGCCGTCCTTCCTGTGTCGTCCCGCAAGCCCTGCCATCGACCAGTGGCGTACAGTTCATCGCTTACCAACTCAGCAAAAGGGTTCATTCGTTAATCACACCATCTGAAATTTTCGTCGTAATATTTTCGCATTTTTTAGCTCTTATAAAATTATAAAATGTACCAATTTCTCCCCACTTGAAGAAAACCACTTGCTAGTGCAAGTACTCGTACATCCGAGCTTCTACGAAGCTTTTCATATTTGGATGACGTTGATCTTCCCAGCTCATACCCCGTGTTCATCAAAAAATAAAAATAAATAATAAATAATAATATATAATAAAAATAAGTTATTCTAATGAAATAACCAACAATCCTTTTTGAACCGTATCTAATTATAAAAACTATTATATATTACGTCCAACGGTCCTGCTGAACTCAACACAAACCACTGATAATTGTTTACTCTCACAAAGACAACTCATGGCCGCCGCATGCGATGTGTTAATCATACGGGAAAAAAAATAGATCTGATGTCATTTGCGATCCCTTTAAAAATTAATTGTTTAACGAATTTATAAGTATTACGGGGTTCGTGTTACCATAGAATTTCACCTATCAAGGGACTGGAGAGGTTCGATTATAAAATAATTTGGCATGTATCGCCGACGACTGGAATTCAATGTCTCTACAACTGTCCCAAAAACGATGACCGAACTTCTTCACCGAAAGCTGAGTGACACATGCTTGTTATTATTAATGTACCTGCAAGAGCTGTTATCTTGAATACACGCACGCAGCACATTCAACAGAGCGTATTTTATTCGCCACTGGCACCAAACCCATAGAGCATTCTTATCATGTTAAGATCGTGACTGTGTTAAAACATTCCCGTTTTTTTCGGAGTTGCTTTCTTTTCCTTCATCTGACGACCAAAATTCTCATATTTTATTAGAAGAATATTCCATAAAATATTTTGTTGTTCATTTTTTTTTTATTCTTTTTCTTTATAGCAGTTTGATAGTTTGAAACGAAAGCGGTATGCGAATATGATCAATTCCAAACGAATAAATCTACAACAGACCAAGGATTTGTTTTCTTCTTTCTTCTTTGCCTGCTCACGCGGCCTTAAACGTAACAAATTGATATCAATAAAAAAGAAAAAATCGCAAAACTTTTTAAGGATATATCGAGATAGTCAATATCGGTTTTTTTTTTCATTTATTTTATTGATATTTCGGGATTAAGGGTACTCTCTCCATAAGCTTTCATAACTTTCTCTTTCATTCTATTTTCAATAAACTTTGTGCGTGGGTATTGATTTTTTTAAAAGTAAATATTTCATTTTACAGTTATACAAAAATGTTCACAATACATTTTCTTTTCCCATTGTAGTTATTTTTTGTTTTGAGTATTACCATATAACATTTTTTTTTATGCTTCGTTTCTACGAATGAGTATTGCTTAGTTTTGTTTTTTCATAATTATATATAATACGTGCATTCGGGTGAAACTTTTTTCATAATACATTATTATCGTTTTGGTAAATATAACGTTTTACACTAATCATGTAGAATGAGTCACCAAAGTTGTATATTAAACAAACATGTATTACACCCACATCATAGCAGTACGCCGAACACACATAGAGTATAGGTATAGTAAACTATATTTTATTAGACGATAATTTACCTTGGTTTCACACATTTTTCCAAAAGGAACAATCGCGCTTGGTGTATACGAATATCGATTTGAACTTCACATCATAACGGCTCGATTTGAATACGATACAGGTTTCGTTCGACTGATTGATATACGTCGATATGTTGAACTAACATCGGGATCAGTCACTGTCGGATGTCCTGTTCATGCTCTGTACGGTCAACTCTAATCGTACGCATTATCGCGTAATAGTAAGACGTTCGAGGTTAAACCCCTTCAGTTGGCGGAATCGCAGACGGCCATCTACATCAAATATACGAACATTCAGCCGTCATTCAAATCATTTTCACACCAACGACCGGAATCGATTTCCGTCGATACCCGTTGCGTTGCGCGACCGCTGGACACACAAGCAGTAGTGTTCACCTGCAGGACGAGTTCGTCCGGTCCTTCAAAAAGTATTGCCATTCGCTTCGTGCTCAACAATGGGTTGGTCATGAATGATTACGAGTCAGACGGGGCTCGCGTAATACTTCGACTCGGAGCCGATGCAGTGCCCGTTATGCGACACGATTACACATTATCGACGCGCGCGGTTTCATTAACGTCAAGGAATTCGATAAATTATCGAATGAACCCCGCGTGGTTGTTTGTGGTGCCGGGCCGGGAGCATAACTTACGGGTCTCGTCGCGGGCGGCGGAAGAACCGCCGGAGGTACAGCATGGTTTGGCGTAAGGATAGGCGTGAAGGCTGACGGGGTGAATGGTGGTGGTGGTGGTGGTGGTGGCGGTGGCGGCTGGGGAACGTAAAAACGGAACGTTTGAAAATGACAAATTGCTATGGCTAATACGCCGCGACACGGTGGTCATGGAAATATATAAATATGTCGCGGGATTATTCTGGGAAAATGATTAATAGCAGCATATGATATCCTTCTCGGCGGAGCGCTCTCGAGTGGCAACCCTGTACCCCTGCAGCCCTTTCAAACTCTCTCCTTCACTTTGTCACTCTTTTCCTAAACATTTTGTTTGTTTTATTCTTTTCTTTTCTCTCTCTCTCTCTCTCTCTCTCTCTCTCTCTCTCTCTCTCTCCCTCTCTCTCTCTCTCTCTCTCTCTCTCTCTCTCTCTCTCTCTCTCTCTCTCTCTCTCTCTCTCTATGTCCTTCCTTCTCATTTCAACCTCTCTCGCGTTCTCTCCTCAATATACCTAAACAGCGATCTAGAGAGAGAAGCTTTTCTCATTTTAAAATCACCATTACTATACACCCTAAATTCTACGTATCCACACACAGACGCTTGGTATCTGCATGCCACCTTCTTTCATCTGGTTTTTTTCTGCTCTCGACTTTTAAACGAGTTTATTATGATATACTAAAGCCACAAAATCAGATATTTTTTACAAAGAAATCTACAACACAGAAATACGAGTGTATTCGATTCAAAGGACGATACTCTTGTTATTATTATAATTATTCTTCATCAAAAATCTTTTCTTTTTCCTGAGTTTTTTACAAATATTTTATTATTTTCCGATAATGCTAAATCAATAAAATAAAAAAAACTCTAAATAATTTTTACATTGAAAATTATTATTTTTTTGTCTGTTTTTCGATGTTTTCATCAATAATAATAATATTATGATTCTCATTAAATATATATATTAAATATGTATCATAAATGTATGAACGTCAATAAGTTATCGATCAATTCGGAGCTCTTATCGGTTATTATTTACTAGTATTTTATGATTTGTATCGTACACAGTAATATAACAGAAAACAAAGCTGGAAAACCAATTTAATGATTTATTCGTATTATCAAAATCTGTAATATTTTCTTATACACGAAAGACATAAAATGTGGACAAAGGTGAAATGTGTCAATTAACAGAATGTTTCTAATAAGCGTTTTTTTTTTTTTTTATTTATTATGAAAAAAATATGTTATTTAAAAAAAATTATATACTGTGAAAAAAAAAATATTTATGCTAAATAAAATATGCGTTTACTGTTGTCTGTTGTTTTTCGTTGAGTAGCTTGATGATCGTGGTTTCGTAAGAATAATGTTGCCCAGTTATTTCATTCACATGATGCAGGACTGCTCTCCTGAAGACACTTAGAAATTCTACAATTTCTTTACTTCACGGTGATGCCTCGCTTTTTTCTTCTTCATCGTTAGTGACAGCATATTAAATTGTACGAGAATTCATAACCGCTTTACAGATCTCTTCTTCGGTTAGAACCTTTGCAACATCGAGGTGTGAATCCACAGAGTGGATCCACTCTTCATACATTTCTTCCGAGAATATGACTGGTTATATTGCAATAAAATAAGATAAAGTATATTGTAATAAATTAATAAATAAATACATTGGTTTTCGTCAAATAACCGGAATTTTTCGACTATCTGGGCTTTTATCGTTTCAAATAACCGATGTGTTGTTTTAATAACGTGATTGTATCACTTACCCGTATTCCTAATAACCGGCTTCTACTGTATATAAATTGCATATTTATGTATAAGGTTTTGAATTAATATTTTCGTTACGGAACAGATATTTCTTAACCTGGAAATTTAAAATACGAAAATACGACAGTTGTTGTATTGAAATTGGTTAAAATATGTGGGAATCCTTAATATTAGAACTTCATAGTTAATATTATTGAACTTATGTCACTATAGAAAACAAAATAAATAAAAATATTAAAAATATTTACAAAGTCAGACAGTAATAACAAAACATTATTATTTTTACTTTCAACAAATGTTTATAACTATTTAATAAAGTTTTTATTTTCTTAGAACAACCACACCCATTTTATGTACTCGTATATTATAAAATAATGTACTTTTGTGACGACAAGTCACCGCAGACGAGATGTCAGTATCATTGATTTAGTGTTGTACGTAATAAAATAAATAAATGCATGTTTCAATGTTTCAGATCCCTATACCATGCAGACCCCAGAAGACGTTTTCAGTTTTGGTATACGAAATCCCTGAAGATATTCCCGATGAGGACATTCGCCATTCGTTGTATAAATTTCAAACTGTCGTCGAAGTAACCAGACTCTATCATACAGGTAATCGTATACGGTGACGTTATTTTATTTATATACATTTTTTTTTTTTTTTTTTTTTTTTTTTTTTTATCAAAATGAGATTCAGATATTCATAATACAGAAATTAGATTAAAGTGAAATAAATTCACTTCCAAAAGCAATAAATGTATAGTACGTTTTATTTTAATTTTAACTTTTGTTCCATATATATCATAAAATATAATATAATATAATATTATATTAATTTATTATGTATGCATAAAAAACTTATAAATTGAATTAATTAATATTAGTTCATGTTAACATAATGTTTAATACGAGTAATTGGTTATAGTTACAATTTTAAAGTTTACGAAAGTTACTCGCAAAACGATAATAATAATAATTTACTAAGTTGAAACATCATTAAACATAAGTAATGTAAACTTCACTAAAACAAATTCGATGTAATGCTTAAATGCCAAGTCGTTAAATTCATAACTTCAGTTATAATTAATCAAACGTTCAAACATGATATTAGTTACCGTCTAACAGAAAGAACAATATAAAACAGTCAAATATACAATTAAAATTGAATAATGTTTATTATTAAATATTATCATTAAATATTCGGAGAGTTCGTCTAAAACCAATATTCATTACAAAAAGTATCATAGAAGAAAATACTATCTATTCCGTTTGCATGTATTATTGTAGGTATCAAAATTGAAATAAAAAAATAAAACAAGTGTGAATTCGCATATTCCGTAAATAGCATATGTAATTTAATATAAATTATTTCGTAAATATGTTAAAAGTTATAAATATTTAACACAATATTATAATTTATGAGAAATACAATCATGAGATAAGGGCCTTGGATAGGAATAATAAAAATAAAAAGCAGAAGAAAAAATGGTCAAATTAAATATGTAAAGATAATCTATTAAAGCGTATCACCTGTAAGTACATATAAATATATTTATACAAAGATATGTAAAAGAAATTTTACAACCATCTCATCGCAGATCTTTTGCCACTCTTACAAAAACTTATATTAGTTTATATGAAAATGTACATTGAGCTCTCGTTTTCTCGTTCGTCCTTCCTCATCTTGCCCCATGGTTGCACACCGTCGACGTTCGTCTGAACCACGTTATACGAAAAATATTGGTTTTTCGTAGTTGAATATATTTATATTTTTCCTTGCCCCTCTTATGTATACATATATAGAAGTTATATTTGTACACATTTTTTCAATAGCAGAGCTGAAAGAGAGTTATATTGTAACGAAACACTTTCAACAACTATATAAATGTTATATATGTATATATTATGTTTAACTTGCACTACTGCGCGTTAGTGAATTCCGCATATTATACAGTGTCCAGCAGCGATTATTTGGCAAGGGATGTCAGATTAGGCCGGCCAGCGTTTTATTTTTTCCACGTCCGACGACGATATGCCAGTAGGGATAACTAAGTACTCCCGGCACTCCAAAAATGTATACGGGTTCTTAATATTTTATCCCCACGGTTGAGCCCGCGGTTGAAACTTCGTGAACGGGAGGTAGGAGTGACGGGATATGAGATGCGAAATCATAATTCTGCCATGTTTTAAAAACATATTTATAAATTCTGTATGTTACGGGAAGTATGGAATACCGAGAAATGTACATAATGCTTGGGCAATTTGGTTCGGCCCGGAAAATCTGTACCTCGAATAGAAATAAATAATTGTTATACTTATTAGTAATAATTTTTCGACATTTTACTTATAATGTAGGTATTATAATACAGAAAAAAAATAACTTTTTAAAACATAATATCAGTAAAATAATAAGCAATATAATAATTCAAACTACTTACATAAATACCGGTAGACTAAAAATATTTTAAAATTCTCTTCCTTCTCAAGTTTAATGGCTGTATCCTGTATAATAACATCGTATATGTTCAATTATGGGAGATCTATTATTATTTTCTCATATATACTTACCTGTATACATTAAAAGTAAAATTAACATAATTATTATACGTTTTAATTCTGGAGTTCCCAATATATTTACATGGTACTTTTTAGGCTTTGAAATCTGGGTAGAGAAAATATAACGATTTTTATGTTATTTTGCTACATATTCTTTTGTAAAAATATTTGTTCGTCTACATTTTCTCAAAAAATGTACCTAACCTAACCCTAAAAACTTCCACCAGGGACAAATTTCCTTTTTGCCCCCTCCCTCTCCCTTAATGTGCCTCTGTAGCGATATCAGATCGATAAAAGTAATAGCGATGTCAATAAAATCAAATAGCAATATATGAACATTATTTGATATTTACAATTATCCATTCGAGTTTTTGTGATATTCAAGACACTTAGTACGTGTACACATACATTTCTATATTCAAAGCTACGACTTCAAAGCGTGTTATTTTACAAAATGGAATCTATATTTTATAAATATTTGAGTAAGATAATTAAAATGAAATAAAATATATACAATCAATAGTTTTCTTAGTAAAATAAAATACGGCGAAATAATAAATAATTTTAAACAACCAAAGTAAAAAAAAAAAAAAAAAAAAAAACAAATACAAAGTTAAGGAATGAATATGATCTGTTGACACTATAAGGAAACGAACAATTTTAATAAAAACTATAAACATTTTAAAATAATTTTCTATTGGTGATAATTTCTATTAAAGAGATACAAAATGAATGAAAACTGCAATATTTGAACAGTAGAAACCAATTTACAACTTGTAGAGAAAAATTTGTACATATTGTTGATGTACCGAATAATTTAATTTCACTACGATAAACACAGCCCGTGTCTTTTCTAATTTAGGAGGACAGAGATATTATCGGTTCACTTGTATACAGCTTTGTAAGATCAATAAAATTAAGTGTAAGAAAGAAAATAGAATTTATAATACAATATACTTGGTTCCATACTGAAATAAAATTATAATAAATTATTAATTAAATATTGTACACGTATTATCATCAGTATAACAACCATGTATTATAACAATATAAAAACCTAACCTAACCTAACCAAAAGAATAACAATTATTTATTTACCAGGGAGTTAAAATGGATTACAACCCAATTTTGAAAACCGGGGTACCCGACAAATGATAATCTGGGTATGAACAGACAACCAAAACTACAAATTTGTGCACTGCTTACGAATTTCGTCCCGTATAAAAAGGTATAATACTAATTGTGTCCCTAATTTTAGTATTATTCTTAGTATTACATTGTAAAAGTGGGATAGGTATACAATGGCTTTACGTGGCAAGATTTTTACTAAATAATTTGTTATTAGGTTATGACCTGGGGATTTTTTAGCAGGATTTTTTTTAATAATGGTGTTAATTCCATCAGAAGATGTAGGTTTGGTAGGCATGGACATTGGTAGAGGAGCTTCAAGGTACTTTTCAATAATTTTTAGTTGGGTATGGCTGAGTTGAATGTCATGAGGAGAAACAGAGTTTTCTAGGTGTTGTGCTAAAATATTTGCTTTGTCAATGTCGGTAATAACCCATGAGTTGTCTAAATTTCTTAGAGAAGGGGTAGGTTGATTTATATGGAGTAAAGATTTGGTTTCTTTCCAAAGGTAAGAGTTTTTTTTTGGTTAGTGATTCAACATAGTTATTGTAGGATTGATTTCGGTCATGTTGGATAGCCTTTTTTAATTTGCTGTTCAATTTGTTAAGTTTTACCTTGTCATTGGGATACTTGAATGTTTGCCGTTGATTCCTTGTTTTACGTTTCTCGGTTAGTAATACTTTTATGTGATAGGGGGTTTGTTTTTTTAGGTTTGAATGGTTATAGGGTTTTGCCGAATCGAGTGTAGCTTTTTGAATAAAGAGTTTGATATCTTTGTTTATTACTTTTTTAAAGGTAGACTAATTTAGTTGACTTGGAGTAAGAGATTCACTTTGTTGGGGAGGGACGATTAATCCAAGTTATAGCATTGTTGGAGTGTGGTCAGAAGAAAAGTGTAGAGATTGGTGAGATCGCTATGTATGTTATTAGGTAGTTTTTTAACAAAAATGTCCAAAATTTCAGGAAGCCTATTATTATGAGAGTAGGTAGATGTTGTAAAAAATCGTGTTTATCTTATATTAATTTAAATTCATTTAAACTCCGATAACGATGTAGTCAAAAAAGCTAATGATCATAACTATCATAAAGAGAACGAAAAATTAAACCGTAAAATCGTGAGTAATAAATTAAAACGAAAAGTTCTTAACGACATTTGTGAGAAACCAAGTAAAGTAATAAACTATTAATAATTGGTATGCACTCAAAAAAAAAAAAAAAAATCGTGATGCAACTAGTATGACCCTGAAAAATAAGCGAGGCGCAACTAGTATGAAAATACTCGGGACGCAATTCCAGAGAAATTGTTTTCTCGGGACGCAGTTCTATGCTGTCAATTTGTAAACCAGTATTTATCCAATCCCAGAACCAGAGATAAATTAAACCCAGTTTTAACTTTAATACTGGGGTTCTAATAAATATTGGTATAAACTTAAAAATGTTTAACCATGAACTAATCTGATACATATAATTAAATAGGCAAACAAAGCGTTTATCTTTACTTTATTTTTGGGGAATAGGAGTTGGAAATGAAATGTGTATTTTTAATTTCACTATATAATTTCACATTTTCAAACTTCAAAAATACTTAAAATACTTTGAAACTGGTCAGTTAGTCAAAACATTTTTAAATAATCTACGAGGAAATCTTTCTTCAACTATTCGAGATATTATATGAATAAAAAGTAATAATTAAATATACATTTTAATATTACACTAGTTTAATTTAAATCTTATTAGGTGCATTTTATTTTATAATGTATTTTATTATTATTTATATTGAATTTGTAAGTGTATTCCAGTGCTTAAAATTCCTATAATTATTTGGGTACTGCACACATTATTATACTCAACAATATATAATGGACCTACTAGTGTGTATCCTACAAATGAATAACTTAAATTGTTTTTAGTATTTTTCAATAATAAAT